GTCGCTCCCGGCCGTCACCGGAAGGAGCACATGGATGCAGCTAAGAGGGTGTTGCGCTACTTGTGCAGTACGTCGGGCATGGGGCTAGTGCTTGGAGGGCGAGTCCCAGTTGTTCTCACTGGGCACTCAGACGCTTCTTGGGCAGACGACCAGGCTACTCAGCGGTCGTCTCAGGGCTACTCCTTCAGTCTTGGCTCTGGTTCTGTTTCTTGGCGTTCTACTCGCTCTTCTTCTGTTCTCAGCTCCAGTTGTGACGCTGAGATCTACGCCACAGCCATGGCGGCCCAAGAGCTACGCTGGCTCACCTACTTGCTGACTGACCTTGGAGAGCAGCCTCGTTCTCCTCCAGTGCTGTACGTCGACAACAAGGCAGCCATTGCCTTGTGTGAGGAGCACATACTGGAACACAGAACGAAGCACATTGCTCTGCGTTACTTCCTTGCTCAAGAGCTACAGCAGCGTAGTCAGCTTCGCCTGCGTTACGTGGCCTCTGAGGCCAACACTGCTGATGTGTTCACCAAGGCGCTTCAGCCTTGTGACCATCAGCGCTTTTGCACTCTTCTAGGCCTTGTGCCTACTGGACCTCACTTGCTTACTTCTTGAGTCTGTTTGTACTGTGATTTCTATATAAATATATACCTGCATGTTTACTCTTGCTAGGTTGTGATCATTGTACCTTTTGCTCTATTATAAAACTGCATGTGAACTGGTCTTGTGACCACTTGCTTGTGCTCGGAATTTGTGTGGTATCCTTGAGAACCACCCTGAGCTTGTTTTGCCTTGCTTTGCCTTGACTGGTCTTGTGACCCCTAGTTCTCCCCCACTTTGCCTATGGGGGTGTGTCAAACATTATATATGTTGTGTTAGTTTAGGCTACAGTGGGTTAGCCTATAGGGGGTACACAATTCTAGGGTTAGGTACTTGTACTGTTTTCACTGCTAGTTCATTCATTCCTGTTCAGAGATTACAACACTGCTGCGTCGCCCCTAGTTGCTGAGCTTGTCGACTTTGCTGCTCGCTGTCGTTTGGACTTCGCTACTAGTCTTGTTGCTAAGTCTGAGTCTGTCTGTCCTCCGTCCGTCGGGGGTGAGTCTACTCTTAGCACGGACGTCGTTGAGGACAGGCAGGAGGAGTTCCAGTGTTTTGCTGCTGCTTTGCCTCATCTCGTGTCCACGCTGATTGCCCCTGAGGGAGACCCGGATGCACCAGACATCCCGACTCCTCGATCGTATGCTGAGGCGATCGAGGGTCCCTACTCCTCTCAGTGGCAGTCAGCCATGGACGCAGAGATGGCTTCCTGGAAGTCCACAGGCACCTACGTCGACGAGGTTCCCCCACCTGGGGCGAACATCGTCAGTGGCATGTGAATTTTCTGGGTGAAGCGGCCGCCGGGTTCTCCGCCTGTCTTTAAGGCGCGTTACGTGGCTCGAGGCTTCAGTCAGCGGCAGGGAGTTGACTACTTTCAGACCTTCTCTCCCACCCCGAAGATGACCACACTTCGGGTGCTGCTGCACATAGCCGCTCAGCGCGACTACGAGCTTCACTCTCTTGACTTCAGCACAGCTTTCCTGCAGGGCAGCTTGTACGAGGAGAACTGGCTGCGCCGCCCACCTGGCTTCACTGGGTCGTTTCCTCCTGGTACCCAGTGGAGCCTCCGGCGGCCAGTCTACGGTCTCCGCCAGGCGCCCCGTGAGTGGCACGACACACTGAGGACTACTCTTGCGGCTCTTGGGTTTGCTCGTTCTACTGCCGACCCGTCGCTATTTCTGCGCACCGACACCTCTTTGCCGCCATTCTACATCCTCGTGTACGTCGACGACGTGGTCTTTGCCACTGCTGACACTGCTGGACTCGCCCACGTGAAGTCCGAGCTGCAGAAGAGACACACGTGCACAGACCTAGGTGAACTGCGCAGCTACCTTGGCTTGCACATCACCCGGGACAGAGCACAGCGCACCATTACCCTGACTCAGTCACACATGGTGCAGCAGGTCCTTCAGCGCTTTGACTTCACGTACTCCTCGCCTCAGGCCACTCCTCTGTCTACTCGCCACTCGCTCTCAGCTCTGCCTTCGGATGAGTCCGTGGAGCCGAGTGGCCCGTACGCAGAGCTTGTTGGCTGCCTCATGTACGTGATGACCTTCACACGACCTGACCTTGCATACCCTCTTAGCAACTTGGCACGCTATGTTGCTCCTGGGAGACACCGAGCGGAGCACATGGCTGCAGCGAAGAGGGTGTTGCGCTACTTGCGCAGTACGTCGGGCATGGGGCTAGTGCTTGGAGGGCGACGTCGAGTGGTCCTCACAGGTCACGCAGACGCTTCTTGGGCTGACGACCAGGCTACGCAGCGGTCGTCACAGGGTTACACCTTCAGCCTTGGTTCCGGCTCTGTTTCATGGCGGTCTACCCGCTCGTCTTCTGTTCTCGGCTCCACCTGTGAGGCTGAGATCTACGCGGGAGCCATGGCTGCACAGGAGCTACGCTGGCTCACCTACCTGCTGACTGACCTAGGAGAGCCGCCTCGTTCTCCTCCAGTTCTGTATGTAGACAACAAGGCCATGCTGGCCTTGTGTCGGGAGCAAAGACTGGAGCACAGAACGAAGCACATTGCTCTTCGCTACTTCCTTGCTCGTGAGCTGCAGCAGCGTGGTCAGCTGCGCCTTGCTTACGTGGCCTCTGACGCCAACACTGCTGATATCTTTACCAAGGCACTGTCAAATGTTGTAGCCTGTAGTGAGGTTTGTCTTAGGGGGTACAGAAGTTAGGGTTTGTTATATGTACCCCAACCAACATCAATGCAACATCCATTCCTCATTCTGACATGGTATCAGCTAGGTTGGGATCCTGTGGGATCCCGTTCCTCTGTTCTCCGTTCGTACCTCCCGAGCCTGATCCTACCTCTCGTTCATACCAGTTTCGTTGTTACCGCGCCTAGTACCGAGCCTAGCGCCATCTCCCCCGTCGCGTCGCGCCCGTTCCCCCCGTCGCGTCGCGCCCGTTCCCCCCGTCGCGTCGCGCCCGTTCCCCCCCTCGTGTCGCGCCCGTTCCCCCCCGTCGCGTCGCGCCCGTTCCCCCCGTCGCGTCGCGCCCGCCTGTTACCCCCCCCGTCCCGTCGCCCTGTCCCGTCCCGTCGCCCTGCCCTGTCCCGTCGCCCTGTCCCGTCGCATCGCCCTACCCCGTCGCGTCGCCCTGCCCTGTCCCGTCGCGTCGCCCTACCCCGTCGCGTCGCCCTGCCCTGTCCCGTCGCCCTGCTCCGTCGCGCCGCCCTGCCCCGTCGCGTCGCCCTGTCCCGTCGCGTCGCCCTGCCCCGTCGCGTCGCTCCCGCCCTTTCCCCTGTCGCGTCGCCCTCCCTAGGCCCTGGCCCGTCGCCCTCCCTAGGCCCTGGCCCGTCGCCCTCCCTAGGCCCTGGCCCGTCGCCCTCCCTAGGCCCTGGCCCGTCGCCCTCCCTAGGCCCTGGCTCGTCGCCCTCCCTAGGCTCTGGCCCGTCGCCCTACCCTAGGCCCTGGCCCGTTGCCCTACCCTACGTCTTGGCCCGTCGCCCTAGCCCGCTCTTCCGCTGCGACTGAGTCCTCTTCCCCCCCGGTTGTTACTCGCCTGTTCGTTCGCGTTGGTTCTCACTATGGCGACTCCGCGAGTTCTTCGTTTCGACGCCGACGGTAGACCCCTTGACTTTTCCGTCTGGCTTCTTCGCGCTCGTCGTCTGTTAGAGAGTCAGGTCCAGGGGGGCGAGACCCTCTGGTCACACGCTACTGGTGACCTCCCCGAGCCCCCCGAGCCTACAGCTTTAGGCCCTGCTCTTGACGACGCTGCTACGGCTCGCTTTGCCCGTCAGCGCGCTGACCGGACGGCTTGGACGTCGCGTGACGCTGCGGCCTGCATCGCACTCAGCAGCCTCCTCCCTGAGTCCGAGGAGGTCCACTTTACTCAGGTTCGCACCGCTGCTGCGCACCTCACTGCGATTAAGGCCCGCTACTCTACTCCCGCTACTGTCTCTCTCGACCGTCTTTTCCTCCCGTTCCTGTTTCCTGATCTTGCCTCGTTTGAGCGCTCTGCTGACTTGATCGCTCACCTCCGCTCGCTCGACGCTAGTTACCGCGCTGCTTGCACTGAGGCACAGCTTGCACTGCTTCCTCCCCCCATGGCGATTACTGTCTATTTCATCGCCACTAGCCTCCCTGACCGCCTTGCCTCCGTTCGTGACGCGCTTCTGCTGAAGCACCCTAGTGAGCTGACTATCGAGGTCCTTGAGTCTGCACTCAAGGACGTCAAGAGCAACCTTCGTTCGGTAGCTGCCGCCTCTGGTACTGTGTCCCCCCCACTCTTCCACGGGTGCACAGTCCCGCAGTTACCCACCTTCACTGCCTCTCTTGCCACTGCCGCTACTGACGCGACTGCGGCTGCTGTTACGACTGCGTCGCGGTCCCGCGGCAGGGGGGGCAAGAAAGGTGGTTCCGGTGGAGGTGGAGGCGGAGGTAGCGGAGGTAGTGGGGGTGCTGTTGCGACTGGCGGTGGTGGGAGTGCAGCGTCTGGAGAGACCCCTCGTGCAGCGGCTGGTGACTCCACTGCACCTGCTGGTGGCGGCGACCCTCGAGCTCGTCAGTCGCCTCCTGTACTGCCGGCCCCGCTAGGTGGAGCAGCGGCGTGGTACCAGGCTCAGCGTCAGCAGCACCTTCAGCAGCAGCAGCAGCCCCTTTCCTCCCAGCAGCCTCAGCAGCAGCAGCGTCAGCAGCTGGCTCCGGGGTCGGGGCTGCGTCAGCCCCAGCGCGGTGCTGCTTACCCTCCCTGCCCCTACCAGGTTCAGACAGGTCCTCGTCGGGGCCACCCTTGTGGCCGCTTTCACCCCCCTGGTCAGTGCTTTGCTCAGCTCACTGACACGGTCCGGTTGACCTACGGGGTTGGCGGTCCTGCTCCTGACTGGCTTCCTCTGGTTCAGCGCTACGGCTCCGCTCTGTGGGGCATGTCTGCTGAGCAGTTAGTTGATCTGATTAGTGCTCCTCATGCTATGTATGCTGTTGTTGACTCTAGTGTTTCTGACTCTGTTTACTCTGGTGTTGTTAGCTTAGGTGCTAGTCTTGCTCAGTTGCCTGTTGCTAGTGTAGGTACTTGTGTAGACTCTAGACCAGCGACTACCTCAGAGGACGCTTCGCTGTCGTTCACACTGGACTCTGGAGCCTCCCACTGCTTCTTTCGGGACAGCACGACACTTACACCACTTCGGGTTCCTGTTTCTGTAGCGTTGGCTGATCCCACTACGGGACCAGTCACTGCACGTCACACTACCACTTTACCGTGTCCTGCTGCTCCCTCCGGGTCTCTCACTGGGTTTCACGTCCCCTCGTTCTCCCGGAACTTGGTGGGCGTGCGACCCCTCGTGAGTCAGCACGTGGGTGTGTGGTTTGAGCCTTCTGGAGAGACTGCGGTGTGTGTTGACGGAGACTCTTACCAGCCTCTTGCTACCTTTACTGCTGAGCCGGGCTCGGGTCTCTACACTCTTCACACTGGCCCGCGTGCGCCGCAGCAGCAGCCGCAGCAGCAGCAGCAGCCGCAGCCGCAGCAGCAGCAGCAGCAGCAGCAGCACCAGCGGCCGCACCAGCAGCCCCCCCTACTGCCACTGCCCCCGGTTCCCCCCCCCGTTCGGGTCCCCGCGTCTCACCAGGTTGCTACGTCCCCCCAGGTGTCTGTGTCGTGTCAGGTTCCTACGTCTGTTCCAGTCGCTGCGTCGTGCTCCTGCCGGTCACTTGCCCACCCCACCGTTCTGTGGCACCACCGGATGGGGCACCCGTCCCTTCCACGTCTGCGCGCTATGTCTAGTCAGCGTCTTGTCCTAGGCCTCCCACGTGTCTTGTCGTCGCTGCCGCCTTCGCCTGCGCCGCCGTGTCGTCCCTGCGTCGAGGGTAGGCTGCGCGCCACCCCTCACTCCTCCTCCCTTCGTCCGGCCACCGAGCCTTTTGAGACGCTTCACTTGGACGTCTGGGGCCCAGCCCCTCGTCTAGGCCCTGAGCGTGAGCGTTACTTTCTGGTGGTCGTTGACGACTTCTCCCGCTACACCACAGTGTTCCCTCTGGCGAAGAAGTCTGAGGTGACTTCTACGCTGATCAGGTGGTTGCTCACCACCGAGGACACTCGTGGTCGTCGTGTCAGCTGCCTCCACTCCGACCGTGGGGGTGAGTTTCGCTCCGGCATTCTCGCTGGATTCTGTCGCGAGCAGGGCATTCGTCAGTCCTGGACGCTTCCAGAGTCCCCACAGCAGAATGGGGTTGCTGAGCGCCGCATAGGCCTGGTCATGGAGATCGCCCGCACCTCCCTGACTCACGCCTGTGCCCCCCATTTTCTGTGGCCCTACGCGGTCAGGTACGCCGCGCACCAGCTGAACCTCTGGCCATGTGTCTCTCGACCAGAGGTTTCACCGACCAGTCTTTGGACAGGGTCCCCTGGTGTTGCGTCGCGGTTTCGTGTCTGGGGGTGCTTGGCTCTTGTCCGCGACACCTCCGCGGACAAGCTCTCGCCTCGTGCCGTCCCCTGTGTCTTCCTTGGTTTCCCTGAGGACTCCTCTGACTTCACCTTTTACCACCCTCCCTCTCACCGGTTCTTTGACTCCCGTGACGTCCGTTTCGAGGAGTCCACTCCGTACTACGTCAGGTACCCCAGTCGAGGTCTCCCGGTTCCTCCTCCCCCCCTCTTCCTGACTGCCGTCCCCCCTCCTGCTCCCCCGGTACAGCCTCCCCCCCCTGGTCCAGCCCCGTCAGGTGTGTCCCAGGCTACCCCTCCTCCTTCGGTAGCCCCTCCGGTACAGCCTCCCTCCCCACAGTCCTCCTCGCAGCGTGCCGCTGGTGCTAGCTCTCGAGAGGTTGGTGCGGCGCCTGTTCCTGTACCGGTTTCTGGTTCTGGGGGTGCTGGAGTTGGAGCTGGAGTTGGAGCTGGAGTTGGCACTGGAGTTTCTGGTTCTGGGGGTGCTGGAGTTGGAGCTGGGGTTGGAGCTGGAGTTTCTGGTTCTGGAGTTGGAGCTGACCCGGTGGGTGCAGAGGACTCTTGTCGTCCGGGAGCTGGTGCTGGCCGCGCGGACACTGGGGGTGCTGCGTCTGGGGGTGAGGGTGCGCCTCCTTCGGGTTCAGGTGAGCCTGGGTCTGGAGCTGGTGTTAGTGCTGCCTCTGGGGGTGGTGCGCCTAGTTCTTCTGAGGTGGACTCTGGAGCTGCCGCTGCTTCGGACACTACTCCACCCCCCCACCCCTACCCGACTAGGCACCAGGCTCGTGTTCGCCGTGCCCGTGACGAGCAGCTGGCGTTGGAGAGAGAGGAGAGGGAGTTACAGCGGCTGGAGGAGCAGCAGCAGCAGCTGGAGCCGCAGGAGCAGCAGCAGCAGCAGCAGCAGCTGGACCCGCAGGAGCAGCAGTCCCAGCAGCAGCCGCGTCCGCAGCAGCAGCAGTCGCAGCCGCAGCAGCAGCAGCCACTTCCTCCTCCTGTCTCGGGTCTTCGGATCCTTGGTCTCCCCTCCCCTTCTCCTCCCTCCTCCGCCTCTCCTCCTGTTTACGGTCCCACGTTTCCTCCTCCTGACTCCTCCCCCGCTGTTTTCCCCAGTTCTCCGCCTTTGTCCTCTCCTCCTCCGTCTCGTTCTTGGGCTACTCGTCGCTCCCCTCGTGCTCGTCCCTCGTCTCCTGTTCCCTTCACTGACCTTCGTACTGCCTTCCTTCTTTCTAGTCCACCTCGTCCGTCTCAGTCTGTGCTTCCGTCTCCTCCTGAGTCGGCCCTCACTGTGTCGCTCCCTACTCCTGTCACTGACTACTACCGCATGTACCGTCCTGTTCTCTCTCGTGTTCTCGCCTCTCTTGTTACTCACCCTCGTGTCTCTGTGTCCTCTGTGTCCGCTCTTACTGCCGCGGTTACTGACTTTGCCTCTACCCGCCGCCTTGACTACGCCACCACGCTTGTGACTGCTCCTCCTACCAGTCCTCTGGTCGTCGGGGGTGTGTCTGCCCTTGGCTGTGACGCCCTAGAGGACAGGCAGTTTGAGCTAGAGTTCCTGGCGGCCGCTTCCCCTCATCTCTGTGCCATGCTCCTCGCCCCTGAGGGTGACCCCGACGCCCTTGACATTCCGACTCCTCGCACTTACGCCGAGGCAGTGTCAGGGCCTTGGGCCTCTCAGTGGAGAGCTGCCATGGACGCAGATATGGCCTCCTACAGATCCACAGGCACCTACGTCGATGAGGTTCCCCCCCCTGGGGCGAACGTAGTCGACGGCATGTGGATCTACAGGGTGAAGCGGCCACCGGGATCTCCCCCGGTCTTCAAGGCGCGCTACGTGGCTAGAGGTTTCAGTCAGCGCGAGGGAGTTGACTTCTTTCAGACCTTCGCACCTACCCCGAAGATGACCACTCTTCGGGTGTTACTACACGTAGCAGCACAGAGAGACTACGAGTTACACTCTCTTGACTTCTCCACTCTTTCCTTCAGGGCAGTCTACACGAGGAGGTCTGGTTGCGTCGTCCCTCGGCCTTCACTGGCACTTTCCCTCCTGGGACCCAGTGGAGGCTGAGGCGACCTGTTTACGGTCTTCGCCAGGCCCCTCGTGAGTGGCACGACACTCTGCGTTCTACCCTCTCTGACCTTGGGTTCCAGCCGTCTTCTGCCGACCCGTCGCTGTTCGTTCGTCGTGGCTCCACACCGTTCTTTGTTCTGGTCTACGTCGACGACCTCGTTTTCGCCACTTCGGACAGGGTTGCTTTGGCAGACGTGAAGTCCGAACTGCAGAAGAGACACACGTGCACTGATCTTGGTGAGCTGTGCCACTACCTTGGCCTGCAGATCACCAGGGACAGAGCCGCTCGCACCATTACACTCTCACAGTCACACATGGTGTAGTAGGTCCTTCAGCGGTTCGGGCTTCAGCACTCCACCGTACAGCGCACACCTCTAGCTGTTGACCACAGACTCACTGGTCCCTTTCCTGACGAGCCGTTTGAGCCTAGTGGTCCCTACGCAGAGCTTGTGGGTTGCCTCATGTACCTGATGACTTGTACTCGCCCGGACCTCGCCTTCCCTCTCAGCATCCTTGCGCGCTTTGTTGCGCCAGGGAGACACCGTCCTGTTCACTGGACGGCAGCTGTGAGGGTGGCGAAGTACCTAGCGACTACATCAGGCGTGGGGCTAGTTCTTGGAGGGCAGCAGTCTGTCGTACTCACTGGTCACTGTGACTCCTCTTACGCTGACGACGCTGAGACTCACAGGTCTACTCAGGGGTACTGTTTCAGTCTGGGTTCTGGAGCTGTTTCCTGGCGTTCCACGCGCTCCTCTTCTGTCTCGACCTCTACAGCTGAGGCTGAGATTTACGCTGGTGCCATGGCGGCACAGGAGTTGCGGTGGTTGACCTTCTTGCTCGCCGACCTTGGTGAGCGGCCGAGCTCTGCACCGACCTTGTTTACTGACAACAAGGCGTCGATCCTCCTCTGTCGTGAGCCGCGACTGGAGAGCAGAGTGAAGCACATTCACGTCAGGTACTTTCTTCTGCGAGAGTTGCAGAGACGTGGACAGGCTCGCTTCGAGTTTGTAGAGTCCGAGGCCAACACTGCAGACATCTTCACCAAGGCGCTTCCGCCTTGTGACCACCAGAGGTGTTGTGTCCAGTTAGGCCTTGTTGACACAGGTTCTAGTCATGCGTAGACTTGAGTTTATTGCCTGCTTCGTCTGTACACTTACTATATATACTTGTGATCTCTTGGACTGGCCTTGTGGCCACTGTTGCTTGTGCTCAGAGTGTGTGGTGACGTTGTGATCCACCCTGAGCTTTGTTTTCTTTTGGACTGGTCTTGTGACCGTACTCTTTTTTGTTTTTGCTAGACACCCCTCACTTAGGCTATGGGGGTGTGTCAAATGTTGTAGCCTGTAGTGAGGTTTGTCTTAGGGGGTACAGAAGTTAGGGTTTGTTATATGTACCCCAACCAACATCAATGCAACATCCATTCCTCATTCTGACAGGCACTTCCACCTGGTGATCATCAGCGCTTCTGTACGATCCTAGGTCTTGCTCAGTTCTTGACCTTGCTTGTACTGTGATCTTTCTATACCTGCACTTGCCTGTTTACCTTTATATATGATCTTGCATGTGAACTGGCCTTGTGGCCTTGCTCTTGTGCTCGGATTGTGTGGTGACGTTGTGATCCACCCTGAGATTGCTTTGCTTTGCTTGACTGGTCTTGTGACCTCTTGTTCTCCCCCACTTTGCCTATGGGGGTGTGTCAAACTCATATCATATAGATTGTCTAGGCTATAGTGGGGTAGACACTATGGGGTACAGTTTCCTAGGGCTTCCTACTTGTACCCAACCTTGTGCTAGTTCATTCATTCCTCATTTCTTAACACGCCCACCTCCTCTCCTCTCCATTTTCCTCCTCCTTCTCACTTGCCTTCTGCTTCTGCCACTAGGCTTTGCTTGTGAACTGGTTCTACGACTGCTTGTTGTGTTGGCTATCCCCCACTTCGCCTATGGGGGTGTGTCAAATTGTTATTTGCTCTTTAGGCTGTAGTGGGGTACCCAACAGACAGTACAACCCTTTTAGGGTTCCTACATGTATCCCACCTGCCTGCTATTGCAAACCCCCTCTTCTTCCATTTCTCCTTCCTAAACCTAAGCCCTAACTTGGCTTAGGATTATAACATAGCAAAGAGTTATGACAAGTGGGTTATTTTGTAGAACAAAGCGTAATAAATCATAAGCTATGACCTCGTGTAACGAGTTAGGGCATTTAATTGTAGAGTAAACAAATAACTGGACACATCACAGAGAAAAGCAGCCATGTAAATAAACAACTGGACATGGAATGGAATGGAATCATTAGGAGATTGACCATTATGTACCAGTATACAGTTCAAAACATGACATTTGATCGGACTGTTCCTGACTTGATTCAAAGTACGGCATCTTTCCCCGAGATACTACTGTAAGGAATATTCGTCCAACCCATAAAAACACGCCAGCACCGAAAGTGTTCAAGGCTCGTCTAGGGAATGGAAAAACAGATAATTTGAGCCACTGGTTCGCTGCTGTGGATGGCTCTGGCGGAGATACCAAGGGTGACACGCAAGACGCATGGCTGAAAGGTCCCCAGCCTGCCCGCCTGCTCCCTGCCCAATCCAACCTCGAGATTGGATTTCCCGCCACTTTTGTTCGCCTCATGCATCCCTCTCTTCTTGGGCTTTCTGGCTTGCTTGGCTCGTTCTAACCTGCTGCTGCTCCGTCGCGACTTTCAACTTCGGCCATTCAATTTCAAGCTTCTTCGAAACCATTGAATGGTTTTCTTCAGCAGTGACAGTATAAAAGCAATTAGTCGATTCCGTACGGTTAGCAGGCTGGAAATTCTTATAAGTATCTCGAAGGCGCTTACTCTCCTGATTGTTGTGATCGCGATGGTTGCGGAGCGATTGCTTAAAGCCATACCTTGGGGAGTGAGCCCAGATATGCAAGTGGAAGAGAGATTGGTGCCGTCAGGCTCCGCGGCAGAATTGACCAATGGTGAAGCCTTGTCGTCCACGGAACGAATGGATGCGGGATGCGACGATTTTTGCAAGCAGTGGTCGCGAAGCAAGCGACGTGTAGCGTTGTTCGTGGAACCTTCGCCGTTCGCGTAAGGGTTGCGACGCGATCCGTCAAGTGTTACGGATTCTTAGCCTACTATCGGCTCCCTTGGATGGCAACCCTTGTCGTCTTACTCACGGCTCCCGGTTCGCTTGTGGTGCAGATATGTATGTGGTTACATGACGCGATTCCAAAATTTCATTCGCCACTTACGGGATATGGGCGACGAGGTAAGACTAAAAGAGAGTTAACGTTTGCCAGATAAAATGCCAACTTCGCATCTCTTTGTTCCCCTCTCTCTCTCCTCTCACTCCTATCCCCCTTGCGCCACCCACCCTTCCCATTTCCCCCACTTGTTCCCCCTCCGCTCAAATTTCAGCCGTTATCATGCTAATGGAGATTCCGTGACTCTGTGCAGGTGCTTGTGGTGACCACTCACAAGGGAGCTCCCAAAGAGTTTCTTGGAGCAAAAGTAATACCTTCTCTAAGGTACCATCTTCTGTACCTCAATCTGCTGATGGAGCTGCTTCGGTCCAGCCATTATTTTCAAGTGTCCCCGGTCACTCGACTTTGAAGCTGATTCGTTTTTGTTATCGTCTCTTTCATTCCTGTGTTTCTTTGTCTTTTTTTTCAGTTTCCCCTGCCCGTGGTACATGAATGTCCCTCTCGCGCTGGGATTCAGCCCACGAATCGTTTCCGAAGTGGCTAAGTTCAAGCCTGACATCATCCACTCCACCTCACCAGGAATCATGGTGAGTCTTTTAGCCTCAGAAGAAGGTATTACTCTTGATTGCAAGGGAATGTAGGTGAAGTGATTCACAAGCCTGACATCATCCACTCCACGTCTCCAGGAATTATGGTGAGTTTTTTAGTCTCAAGGTGTCACTCTTGAATATCAGAAGTTCGGGGGACTGTAGGTGAAGTATCAGCACAAGCCCTGACATCATCCGCTCCACCTCTCCAGGAATCATGGTGGGTTATTGAGCCTGAAAAAAAAAATTGCTATCCTTTAATGTCAACAGCAGGTTCGCAGGACTGTAGGTGAAGAATCTTACAAGCCTGGTACTATCCACTCGAAATCTTAGGAGGCATGGTGGGTGTCCTAGCACAAACTAAGAGAATGCTTACATTGAAAGTCAGAAGCAGTGAAGATGAAGAAAGTTACAAGGCTGGCATTATGCACTCCACATCTCCTCCAGGGTTGGTTTCTTAGCACAAAAATAGAAAGTGCTATTTTTGAAAGTCAGAAGGTTTCCAAGATTGTAGATGAAGGAAGTCAGAACCCTGACACAAGCAATGTAGGGAGGGCAAGCAATGAGACTGAATTTACAGTCTGCAAGCGTCGTCCTTGATTGCATCGCATTGCATTCATACCGACAGCAACAGCAAAGCTGACTGTGCAGGCGAACGGATTTCAGTGCATAGAACCATTCTTCGTACCACTACATCCCTTTTCCTTGACTGGCAGTGTTTTGGAGCCATGGCAACAGCAAAGATGACACACACGCCCTTCATGCTCTCGTACCACACACACGTGCCAGCGTAATGCCCTCCTACCCTACCGTGCACCTTTGCTCAATCGTAGTCTTCTGTAACACACACACACTCTTCCTGCTGCCGTATCACACACACACACACACACACACACACACACACACACACGTGCCAGCGTAACGCCCCCCTACGATTCCACCCCTTTTGGTAAGGCGACTCAAAAGATGTGCAACATTGCTGGCTGCTGTTCTGTTCACAGGTACATACCGAAGTACACTTTTCCAGGACTAGTGGAGCCAATGTGGAAAGTTATCCGTAAGTTGTGTTGATCGGTGTCCCACAAGTCACAACTCCTTTTGTGTCCTCTTGCAAACAGTGCTTCCTTGCTTTCAACCTTCTAACGTTTTTCTTTGTCAAGCCTCGGTTCTTTTGTTTGTTTGCTTGTTTGTTTGCTTCTATTTTCATATTTATCTGGGTTTCTTCCAATCCCTGTTTCCAGGCTACTTGCACCGAGGGGCGGACCATGCCATCACGACATCTCATGAGCTGGCAAAGGAGCTTAAAGAGCACAACGCCACAGCAGGTACGCGTTGCTGCCTCTGTCTAGGCCTTGGTAAGTCCTATCTGACATAGGACGATGCCAAACCAGGGCCAGAGTTTCCTGCATGCTGGCTTCAATCAGCCTGGTTGTTCTCCCTCCCTCCTCGTGGCCCTACCTTTTTGTGCAGAAAGCAGTTTATTTCTGTTTGCTCGGACTGGATCAGAAGCTTCTGCTTGTTACCCCACTCTCACTATCTCTCGTTACTGCTGTTTTCTGGTGCAGGTGGCAGCAGGCAGATGGGCGTGTGGCCCAAGGCAGTGGATTCCCACAAGTTCAACCCGCGGTTTCGAGACCAGGAGACACGGAAGATGCTCAGGTGTGTGTGTTAGCTGTGGTGACACAAGGCAAGGGTTAGATGGGTCACTTCTGTCTGCACTCTGGACGCAGGCAGATGGGCGTGTGGCCGAAGGCAGTGAATTCTCACCAGTTCATTCAACCCGAGGTTTTGAGACCAGGAGACACGGAAGCTCCTCAAGTATACATGAGTTGTATGTGACGCGCCAAGGGCTAGTCTTGCGTTGAGGCAGCAGGCAGATGGGCGTGAGTTTGCACAAGTTTAACCTGAGTTCTAGCAGTTTTATGGGTCGGCAGGGGTTAGCATTGATGCAGGCATGTGGGTGTTTGTGAACCTAGGTAGTGGATTCTCAGGGTGCTTTGTCTGTGTGTGTGTGTGTTTTTTTTCCTCCAAAGAACCTCCTAATTTTTTATTCGAGTCACTTTTGAGTTTCCTCATATTGTTGTCCTCGTTTCTATCCATCCCCACATCATATTCTACTGCGTGTGCTACAGCGGGGGGGAGGTGGACAAGCCACTTATTGTGCACGTGGGGCGGCTGGGTGCTGAGAAGAACCTTCATCTGCTCAAACCGTGAGTGCTGTCTAGAGTGTAGGTTGCTTTGTAAGAAACGGGAGGAGATGGCTGATTGAGTCGTGAGTATGTCTCCACAAACTTTGATTTGAGCAGACTGATCCAACCGAAGTCAGACTAATCAACCAAACCGAGTTGTTCGAATCAATCTGTGTGTTGACTGGCTAATCTGAGTTTGCTATTAGCTACCGCAAAAGCTGAGTCAAAGTCTCCCCCTCTCCCCCTCCATCCTCTCACCACTTGAGTTCACATTGGTTTACACCGGTTCGCACCAATGCCACTGTTCACACCACTTCGCACCAATGCCAGTGTTCACTCCGGTTCGCACCAATGCCAGTCTTAACACTGGTTCACATCACGCTTAAAGGCAGAATCCACTAAGAGGTTTCTTGGCTGGCGTAGGCACCATTCCTCCCCTCCCCAATCTCCTGTCATCACCTCTCCTCCTGTCCCTCCCACCAGCATGCTGGACAAGCTTCCAGGGGCACGCCTTGCTTTCATCGGGGATGGCCCACACAGGTATGTGAATGTTTCCGCGAGTTTCTGGGGCGTACTACTAGCTATTTCTCAAGATTGAAGAACTGAGGTGACAATATTTATCCATATCCCTGTTTGAGGTTCCCATTTTCCTTTTCCCTTCCTCCCCTCCCTTGTTTGCCACTGGTCTTCTTTAAAATTAAAAAAAAAGTGAATCCAAGCACTGATTTTTCAAAGCACTCTTCCTCAGTCTTTGCGACTTGAAAGGCATTCTCAAGTCGAAATGGTCACTCACCCTACTTTCTTGCCCCCTTGCTCTCCGCCTTTCACCCCCCTGTTCCTTGCTGCTGCTGGTTCCACAGAGGCGAGTTGGAGAGACTGTTTGCGGGCACACCCACAGTCTTTGCCGGCATGAAGCAAGGAGCTGACCTCTCCCGTGCATTCGCATCAGGAGACATTTTCATCACCCCTTCGGAAACAGAAACGCTGGGAAACGTGGTTCTAGAAGCTATGGCATCAGGCGTGCCTGTTGTCGCCGCCCGGGCAGGTGGAATCCCAGATATTGTGAACAGAGAGGGGCAGAACGGGTTCCTGTTCACTCCGGGCGACGTGGACGACGCGGTCGGCAAGCTTCGGCAGCTAGTGACATCCAAGAAAATGCGAGAGGCGATAGTTGAGGCAGGGTTGCAGGACGCGGAGGCGTGTGATTGGAGGGCCAGCACGAGGACAGTGAGGAACGAGCACTATGGGAGGGCGGTTTACTCGTTCATTCGCAAGGGGCGGGTGAATCTGAGGAGCAGGAAGCCTCTGGCTGTGGCTGCTCCGGCCACAGTCTTCCCTCCCGGGCCGCGTGACCTGCAGTGACTTTCCATCACTGGCAATGAACACAGTGACTTGCAATAAGGGTTGAGTGTGGCTCTTCCTCCCAACTCTGGTACCTGCTGCTGGGGCACCTCCGAGCATTGCTGCTACACCAGACCATACCCCACCTCCTCTCCACTCATCCCTGCTGCTGCTGCTCAATTCAAAGAATACGGACGTCCGATTGAGCACCCACTGTGATGCCTGTCCGCTCTTGCCGCCTGCCTCGGCTTTGGTTCTCCTTTTGCGGAAAGGATTTAGTCCACCCTTTTCCACTCTGATTTTGATGTGCATGTATTTTCAGTCTTTTCTGATCAGGTCTGAGGGCTCTTACAACACGTGTGCTGGGTACAGTTCGAAATTGGTGGGTTTCATTCAAGCTTTGACAGTACCAATGTGGGTTGGGTTGGGTATACATTTATCTGTAGCCACATGTGGTCTGCTGTCTATTCGGGTTAGATACGTCATCCTGAGTTCTATAGTCACAGCTGTCATCACAGTTCTCCAGACTCCAACGCAGTTGATCTCGTTTTTCTGTAGGAGTCAAAATGCCCCTTTTGAAGTAACAATCTGGTACATGGAAGGTGTTGGACTTGCTGATCATCATATCCAAGAGACGAGGAAGATGTATGCAAGAAATTCTGCTATGTCTTTACATGATCGCTGAACCAGAGCAGAGTGATGTAAAAGGTAGGTAAATATTTATATTTCCGTTGTAAGATGCTACAGTAATGTATCATGCTAGTGACAGTACAGTGGTAGTCAATCACCTCTCCTTCCTGATTAGTCAAGTCATGTATCGGTACAGCTCCCTTCTCAGACAATCACTCGCTTTCCTGATTAGTCAGGTCATGTATCGGTACAAGCATGGTGTCTCGCGTCGCCTCACGTCCCTGGTGTTACCATTTGCCTCGTGGATGTCCGTTTGGGGCCGAGACGCTGGGCGGCGTGAATATATCGAGCTGGCCGTCCCATTCTGGTTACTGGACAACTCCCTCCCGATTGGTGAAGCAGGAAAGAAACACTCGCATTGACACACTGTTGAATGCAATTTTCGTAGGTGCTCGACCGTCGTCTAGTCGTTATCGCAGCGGGGCAATCAGCCCCTCCGCGCTCCGTAACAGCCAATGATTGGGCTGAACTTTCGCGGTTCGATTTCTTTAGCTATCAAATCGAGCCGCGATAACCTATCTACCCCTCCCCACGGCGACTCCTACCAGATTGGCCTTCGCTACACCACTCGCGTCGCGCCCTACGCCCTACCTCACTCACAGTTTCCTAACAGAAGCTCACATAAATACGCGATCCTAAGTACCATCAGCTATCAGTTCAACATCCATCAACCACCATCAGTGGTGCTTACGTCTCATCTCCACCATTCCATCGTTCCAGTGCTGCTGAGGCGACATTTACTACCTCTATTGTTAATCCTGCGAGTAGTCTATTAGATTCTTCTTTGTGAGCTCATTCTCTTCGCCAGATGGAGATCGCTTGGATGAAAAAGGCTGCGATATGGGCATTCGCCGGACTGGGCCTCTCTCTGGCCGTCATCTCCTGCTGCCAGATGGCCGACAACTATTTCGTTCTTACCCACCCCGACGCTTGCATCGCTTCATCCAACGGAACTCACTGCGCGGCAGAATTCCGCGTAGCGCGGCGATCCCTAGGCGTCGTGCCGCAGACGCCTGAGCAAGTCACCTCAGCCATGATCGCAGCGGTGAAAGCGCAAGTCGCGGCGCTGATCGAGGCAGCCGATGAGATTAAGACCAACAACGTGCGGGAAGACCATTTTACAAATGTGATGGCGAGGACTTGCGCGCGCCAAGCCACCATCGCGCTGCGCTACCTGGGGCAGGCGGGAGATGCGGTGGAGGCGGGCACGAATCAGCTCGACGTGCCGTACTGGCTGGCTGCCGCCGATACGCAGATCGACAACTGCGTCGATGGCTTCCAGACTTTCTCGCCCGCCGCGCAAGGCTTCCCCGCTTACGTACATCTCGAGGTTCGTTACCACTGTTTTCTCGAATAAACAATCATTCGGCTGCATTTCTTGCACGTGCTTTTCTTTTCTCCGCGCAACAGCAACACTGGTTTACTATCCGTTCTGAATCCCCGTCCCCTCCTCCACGTCTCCGAATCCCCTCCGCAGTATACGGCGAAGAAAGCGGGAAGCACTCTTGACGCTCTCTTATCCATCACCAACGCCGCCGCAAAAGCCGCCGCATCCGCCGCTACCAGCGTCGCGTCAACGGAGGAGGATGTGGCGCCCGTGCGCGGACGCCGCATGGCCGTCCGATCCAGCAGCTCGGGGAACGGCGCGATGGATTGGCTTGAGGCGGGCTTGTACGAGCAACTGCAGGAGCTCCAGACGAGGCTGAACGCCGAATTCGCCACTGCGGGCGAGGAGGATTCGGAGAGCGGCTCTATCTCGAGGAGGCAGTTGCGCCATCGCCACGACGACGACGACGATGATGATGATGACGAGGATAAGAAGGATAAGAAGGACAAGAAAAGTAATAGCAGCAAGAGCTGAGCAGCAAGAAGAGCAGCAAGAAGAGCAGCAAGAGCAGCAGCAAGAAGAGCAGCAAGAGCAGCAAGAAGAAGGCGTCACCCAACCAGGGTCCGATGGTCGTCAGCGCGTCTCTCGCCGCCAGCGCGACCGTCGGATCCGGATACAAGTCGATCCAGGACGCTGTTGATGCCGCTCCCGGCGGCACGCGATTCGTGATTTACATTCCCGCGGGAACGTACAAGGAGCAGGTTGTTATCTCGACGACGGATATCGTTCTGATTGGTGCGGGCACGGGTAAGACGATCATCACGGGCGACGCGAGCTACGGCAGCGGATCCGGGACGTTCGAGTCGGCTACGGTTGGGGTGGATAGCGACAGGTAATGCCGCCGCCCTTTCGCCTTTCTGTCCTTGCCTCCCTTTTCTGCCCAATTCTCTCCCTCCCCCCCTTTATGTAATTTCGTTTCTTCTCTCACGCACAGCTTCCCTCTCTTCCCTCTCTGCCCTTGCCCCATAATGTACGCACCCACCTGGTAACCACACAACAGGTTCGTCGCCTTCGGGATCAAGTTCGTCAACACGGCAGGCCCCGAGAATCACCAAGCAGTTGCGTTTCGCGCCACCGGCGACCAAACAGCTCTTTTCAACTGCGCGTTCGACGGATCGCAAGATACATTGTATGTGGACGCGGGCCGCCAATACTACAAAAACTGCTACATTGGCGGCTCGCAGGACTTCATTTTCGGCGACGCGGCCGTGGTTATCGATGCGCCCAAGATTCAGCTTCACCCAAGCCCCTCTTTCGGGACCCTAACTGCGTCGGGACGGGCCAAGGACACCCCGACGGGGATCGTGATTCGCGACGCTGTTGTCTCGGCGGATCGCGGCACGAAGAAGGTGTATCTGGGCCGTCCGTGGAAGAAATGCGCCTTCACGGTTTTCATCAACACCTTTCTCCCCGCGGTACGTTTCCTTCCTTCCCGTTTCTGCCTGCGCGGTTTCCGTTTCCGTATCCGTTTCCGTTTCCGTCGTGTCTCTGAGTCGGCGCTGAACCATTCGAACAAGTACCTTGCTGTCGTGGAACGACGGCAGTAGCATGTTTGTTCAAAGCGTTCCCACCTCGTAAACTCATCCCCATCTCCCATCCCCATCCACCCCTCCTCAGGTGATCGAGAGGGACGGGTGGCTGTCGTGGAACGAGGGCAGCTGCATGTTTCTGGCGGAGGCGGGCAGCAAGGGGCCGGGCGCCGCGGCTTCCCGCGCGGACTGGGTGGACCCTGGGATCATCACGAGCGTACGACGCCAACACCTTCACGCAAGTCAACTCCTGGCTCCGCCTGTCGCGCTAGGGCTTCAGTAGGAATTCTTAGTTTCTGAAAGCGTACCTAATTGCCAGCGCCAGTAGGAGTCGCAGCAGCAGCAGCAGGAGATTTTGTAGCAGTCACAAGCACACCCAGTATGGCATGGCTGCTGGAGCGCCAAACCCGCCTAGGAATTCTGCTAGTAGAAGGCGACAAATTTTGTGCTCTTCTGTACAAGGTTCAGGGAATAAATAAATAATGTCTAGCTTTGTACCATGTTCTGTGAAGATCTCCCACGATCACCTTTGTACCAAGGTACCGTAGCACTGGCAGTGCAGGTGGGAGCATGGGTTGGGTCATGCTGCGCTACAGCTAGCAGTAGGCATATGTAGGTGTGCGAGTGACACTTGAACATGTGCTGAACAGGGCTGTCGCTTGCCCTGGCCGAAGAAGTTAGCGGGCTGAGGTGGCCTAATTTCAGCCCTTAATTTTCCGGGTTGAGCCCGATTTCAACACTTAGATTCAGGGCTACACATCCTTCTGCACTTGAGTGTTAACACATCGTGAAAGTAGGTTAATGTTCCAATACACCTAAGGGCTGCGGAACATAGCAGATATATAACCCAATCTTCACTGCAGAGGGGGAGCTGGTAGGTAAGGTGTTTTACGTAAGCAGGGAATGAATAACAAGGGAACGAGGGGGTGCGGGGGTGGGGATGGGCTCTGAACGTGTACGTGAAATCTGGGTTAGGAGGTAGACCAGCCCTTAAGGAAAAAGGGCTGGCCTCAAAGCCAGCACTTGAATTCTGAGTTGGGCTCAAACAAGCACGTGAATTCAAGGGCAAAAAGGGCAAATGCCCTCGTAGCGACAGGCCTGGTGCTGAACAGCCAAGCTAGACCATCACCATGGTCTCTTCTTTCAGTTGGCACAACACCTCTAAGAAGCACTGGCAGCGCAGGTGGGGATTTGGCACGTGCTGCTTTACAGCAAACACCACTATACGGGCTGCTCTGCTATGCTCTGTACAAGGTATGTCTGAAGGTGACATGTGAGTGGGTATTGTTGAAACAGTCAAGCTAGACAATCGTCTTTGCCTCTTCTTTGAGTTGCTGAAACGCCTCAAAGAAGCACCGGCAGAGCAGGTGTGGGTTTGAGACGTGCTGCTTAACCGCAGATACCACTACGCGAGCAGCTCCCTTGTATGTCTGAATGTGACACGTGAGCGCCTGGTGAGGATGCCAAAACAAAGACAGATTTAAATTGCATGATGAAGACGCGAAGAGGATATCGTCCTTCTACATTTAGCGTACCTGTCGAATAACTTCAAGAAAAGGCTCAATCACCCACTCACTCTCATGCATGCACAAAGATAGAGGTAAAGCTACACTCACATGGTTACTGCCGTAGACTGAAGGAATGATGGCAGAGATGGGGTGGCCGTGCAGTGCCACCTCTTCTAACGGCCCCACCACATTGGAGAGCGAGAGGGTGGTATGATCCAGGCTGCGACGGGTGAGCACTGCCACTGGCTGATAATGGGAAAATGGGATGATATACAGAAGAAGTGGCAGGGATGGGATCGCCATGCAAAGCTACCTCTTCTTCTTAAGGTGCCCCCACGCTGGAGAGTGAGAGGGTGGTCCAATCCAGGCTGCGACGGGTGAGCGATGGCACTGGCTGATAAGGGGAGCAACCGGAAGTGGAGGGGAGGATAAGAGAAGGAAGGAACACAATGGAGCAAGAGAGGGGTCCACAGTGCGTGCCCCCCCCATGCTGGAGAGTGAGAGGGTGGTGTGATCTAGGCTGCAACGTGTGAGAGGGTGGTGTGATCTAGGCTGCAACGTGTGAGTGCTGCCACTGGCTGATGAGGGGAGACGGGAAGTGGTGGGGGGGAGAAGAGGAGAAAGGATAGGAAAGGCAAGGCAAGGCAGCGACAGGGCAAGGAAGAAGTCAACCAGCGACAGGGCAAGGAAGAAGTCAACCAGCGACAGGGCAAGGAAGAAGTCAACCAGCGACAGGGCAAGGAAGAAGTCAACCAGCGACAGGGCAAGGAAGAAGTCAAGACAGGATGGGCCCACCACGTTGGAAAGCAAGAGGGTGGTTTGATCCAAGCTACGATGCGTGAGTGCTACCAGACACTTCACCTTGCATCCCACGAGCGGCATGAGCTGGCGGCCATTGAGGTACGTCCAATGAGCCATCAGCGAGTCCTTCCTCAAAGCACACAGCGCCCTCACTGCGCCCAGCCTCTCTTATCAGTGCATGACTCAATCCCATCTCACGTCTCAGCTCACAATCCGCCAGCAGCATCGCCACCAGAGATCTCACCTTGCATCCCACGAGCGGCATAAGCAGGCGGCCATTCAGGTACGTCCAGTGAGCCATCAGCGAGTCCTTCCTCGATGCACACAGCGCCCTCACTGCGCCCAGCCGCTCCACCTCCTCCCTCGTGACCTTCCCCTCCCGCTCCCCCTCCCCCGCCCTGCAGCTTGGCTTGTTTGAATCACTCTGCTGGCTCGGCCGGTAGTTCCTTCCCTGCGCTCTGCTGTAGATGGGCAGTGGCAGCAGGATATTCCCAAGGTGGTTGCCCCACCGTGCTTGCGACCTCTGCCCCGCCATCAGCTCACTCAATTCCTGACAGACGGGTGAGTAGGGGGCGAGTCAAGATGAAGCGCGGGTTAGGACAGAAGCAGCAGGATATTCTCCCAAGGTGGTCTGGTTGCCGCACCGTGCCTGCGACCTCTGCCCCATCAGCTCACTCAATTCCTGGTGGGCGGTTGGGTGAGTAGGGTGAGATGGGTCAGGGTGGGGCGTGAGTGAGGATAAACGCAAGTTGACTTTTGAGGCGCCTTAAATGAGGCACCCACACGGCTCTGTGGCACATGGCGTGTCAAGGCATGCCACGTGCTTTTGAGGCGCCTCAAATGAGGCACCCACACGGCTCTGTGGCACATGGCGTGTCAAGGCATGCCACGTGCTTTTGAGGCGCCTCAAATGAGGCACCCACACGGCTCTGTGGCACATGGCGTGTCAAGGCATGCCACGTGCTTTTGAGGCGCCTCAAATGAGGTACCCACACGGCTATGTGGCACATGGCGTGTCAAGGCATGCCACGTGCTTTTGAGGCGCCTCAAATGAGGCACCCACACGGCTCTGTGGCACATGGCGTGTCAAGGCATGCCACGTGCTCTTGAGGCGCCTCAAATGAGGCACCCACACGGCTCTGTGGCACATGGCGTGTCAGGGCATGCCACGTGTCATCCCTTGATGTGTCGGTGCCAATCCTCCCACGGCGTATCTGTGAACTCAACTGATATGCCAGGCAGAGATCATCATACCGTATGGGAGTAACAAAAGCCACACCCTACCTGCAGGCCTGGTGCTGGTCGTATTTTAGAGCGCTTCAAAAGCCGCCTTTTAAGGCGCCTAAAATAAGATTATCAGACCAAATGGTAACCACAGAAGCAACCCTACCTGCAGGTGTGGCGCAGGTCGCAGGTTGAAGAGTGCCAGTGCACTGACTCACCTTGTGCTCATGGCACCACGTGGTACCACATGATACCACATCGTACCAGCAGCAGCCAGCCCGTACCTGTAGGCCCGGTGCTGGTCGCAGGTTGAAGAGTGCTAGTGCACTGACCCGCAGCCGGTGAGGCAATGGGGACCCTGAGAGGCGAGGAGGGGAAAATGAGAAAGGAGGGATAGTGGGATGGGATGGCAGCCGACCTTTGATGCGCTGCGAACGATGTGTTTTGAGGCGCCTTAAAACACACCTCTGATGCGCCACGGACGATCAAAGCTGCCAATGATTTGAGTTTATTCAAGAAGAATCGAGCAAGGATAGAGAGTGATGGGAGGGGGGGGTTGAACCGTGTCAATACAGGAGGAAAGGGGAGAGACATGGGAATGAGTCTTGTGAGGGACATGGACAGAAAGGGCTCTGTGAATAAGACATATTCACAGCATGATGTCATTGACCGTCTTGGGGAAAGTAGGATAGCCTGTGTTACTTACTAAGAAATACAGTTTTTTTACTAATGTCTCAAACTATGGTCTTGGTGGATTTCTAAAAAGCGTACCTCCATTTGTAGTGTCACTGCCAACAAGAGCAAGGTACCGCTCTATTCCACCTGAGATCACCGTCAGCATGACGTCATTGACCGTCTGAAGAGGGTGGGGTGAGGGAGGGGAGATGGTTGGAAAATTTAGGCGCCTATAAGGTTGACAAGAGCAAGGTACTGCTCTATTTCACCAGAGATCACCGTCAGCATGACGTCATTGACTGTCTGAAGAGGGAGGGTGGGGTGGGGGAGGGAGGTGGAAGAGGGGGGTTCTTAAATCGTCTAAAACATTGACAAGAGACAAGTACCACTTGGTCGTGTGTTTTTTGAGAATTCTCAAAAAGTACCACTTGGTTCCCCCACGGATGGTGTATTGTTAATCTCAGCGGACACGGCAAAGCAGCGCGGCGGGGCGTGGCAGTGCAGGTGGGGGGGCGCAACTTGCCTCACAAATGAAATCAAATCCAATCAAATCACCCAGGTTTTAACTCACCGCACCTTTCACTGCCTTGTGAATGGTTGACACGTCTTCAAGGCTCATTTCAGGGGAAACCGCGAAGCAGCGCGGCAGGGCGTGGCTGTGCAGGTGGGGGCGCGCAACTTGCCTTACATATGAAATCAAATCCAATCAAATCACCCAGTTTTTAACTCACCGCGCCTTTCACTGCCTTGTGAATGGTTGACACGTCTTCAAGGCTCATTTCAGGGGAAACCGCGAAGCAGCGCGGCAGGGCGTGGCTGTGCAGGTGGGGGCGCGCAACTTGCCTTACATATGAAATCAAATCCAATCATATCACCCAGTTTTTAACTCACCGCGCCTTTCACTGCCTTGCGAATGGCCGAAACGTCCTCTAGGCTCATTTCAGGGGACACGGCGAAGCAGCGTGGCAGGGCGTGGCAGTGCAGGTGGGGTCCTCCCTTGATGGGCGTTGGTGTGTCGGCAACCCACAGAAGCACTGCGAGGTACTCGAGAATCTGAATGGGGAGGGAGGGAGTGAAGGGGAGTGGAAAACATACGTGCAGCACACATGGGGCGTGGCAGTGCAGGTAAGGGCCTCCCTTGATGGGCGTTGGTGTGTCGGCAACCCACAGAAGCACTACGAGGTACTCGTGAATCTGAAGGGAAGGTTATGAACGGAATCACATGCATGCAGGCAGCACAAGGGAATGCAGGGGGAGTGGGGAGTGAGGCGCTGCATCGGCTGTGTTACCACTTGTGAGCAACGCACAGCCGTTGCAGCTGATGAGTCGGCTCTACTTTAGAGGCAGTTACAGCAAGCCACTTGTGATTCCATTCATGCACATACTTGCTGTGTTGTCTTGCCTGCCACGCACCTGCAGTGTTGAGTTGACTGTCACTCGCATCACCCGCCACACCGCCACCACCACACGCATTTGAGAATTCCCAAAAGCGACTTTTGAGAATTCTCAAAAGTTGACTGTCACTCGCATCACCCGCCACACCGCCACCACCACACGCACAACCGCAACCCACAAGAGCGCCAATAACCTTTTGGACAAAGCTTCTTGCTGGGTTAAATGCCACGCACCTGCATGGTTGTGTTGACTGCCACTCGCACCATCCGCCACACCGCCACCACCACCCGCACAAGCGCAACCCACAGGAGCGTCAGCAACCTTCGGAACGACCCCTTAATCCTGGAAACTTCTGACGCTGCCTCTTTTCCCTTGCTGCTTCCCCCCTCACTGCTACTGCTTCTGTTCCTACCACTGCTGCTACCATCACTGCTGCTCGTGGGTGGCTCTGAGGAGGAGGGGATCTTTTGCCTAGTGGATGCACCCAAGCTGCCTGGTAGGCTCGGAAGGAGGTCCGGGTTGTCGGTTCGGCGGGTGGCAGCTAGCAGGAGAGACATGAGCGAGATTCCGTCACCCAAGGCATGGTGAATCCTGGTGGTGGTGGGAAGAGGAGGGAGTGTTAGTAGTAGATGAGTGAAAGGCGTGAGAACAGAAGACGGTTTTGGTAGCAGTGAGCAGGAAGAGATGAGATAGATTCCGTCGCCCAGGGCTTGGTGAATCCTGGAGGTGGTGGGGTAAAGAGATGAAGAGAGGGACACAAAAGGGAGGGTGGGGGGAAGGGGTGTGGGCAAGACAGGAGTGACATGAGAGAGAAGCACAAAGGACATGCTTTGAGTTGACTCGCAAATCACTTGTATTCTGCTTATATAAGAATGCCAGCGTAGCACAAGGGAAGATAGATGTATAGGAAGTAAGGCAAACATACAAGCAAAGCAGCATTCACATCTAACCTTCACCTGACGCCTTACCTGAGGACCTACAGGAGCGTTGACCTGAAAATATCCACCTGAACTTTCACCTGACGATGACAAGTCACCTGAATACGGCTGCAGAGTGGCGCTGACGTGGCTCGTTTGGACGGGTGCCAGCTGGCAGGTGAATGAGATGCACCTGATGCGGAAAGGCAAGGGGCGGTGCCAGGCAGTCAAGGTAGTCAAGGCAGTCAACAAGAGTCAACGAGAGTCAAAATGAGATCAAACCAACGAGCAGTCGCAGGGCATTCGAGGAGACTGGACTCAAGTGAAAGAACATGCTTTCAAATGCCTGCCAGCTCGGCCAAGATTTCGAAACCCCAACACAAAGGGCTCCTGGGTCGACTAAACAGACAATAGCCAACATGCTGCACAAACTGACAAATCTGTCAAAGTGTTACAGAGCTACCACTACCGGTCCAGGACCCCCACCTGCCAGAGCGGACGGTTGGGATCAAAAGGAGGCAGTGACTGCAATCGCACGACTTGAGATTCCAATGCTCCCTCGCCTTCCCCTCCCCCTCCCCTCTCTTCTTCACCTCCTTTTCCTCCTCCTCCGCCTCCCTCATCCCCTGCCACGTGGCGCTGTGACGAATCCACGTCAGCAGCTTCCTCTTCCACGACATGGTACTCTAGATCCACGTCAGCAGCATCCATAAGCACCCACGCTGGCACGCCACCAGGGCTAGAGACCTGTGGGAGCAGAGAGGGATGAGAATGAGGGGGAACAAGGAGCAATGTGGTGCGGTGGGGAGGGGTGGGGAGGAATTGGGTGGAGTTGGGAGGGTAAGAGGATGAGGACGAGTGAGGGAGGTGAAGTTGAAAAAGGGGGAAGCGGGAGGTGGGGAAAGGGAGAGGGTGGGAAAGGATAAGGAGATGACATAAAAGCACCATGCAACTATGGTGTTAGAAAAGGACGGCTTGATATTACCCACCAGCCGCCGAAATGCTTAACTCTGCATCTTAACACCCACCAGGCGGCTGTGGAAGCGCGGGTGTTGCAGCAGCGTGTGCTCCAGGATTTCTCTTAGCTCTTTAATCTCCATTTCGTTCTTAAACTCCAGCACGCATAGAATTGTAGTGTAGAAGCCGTTGTCCAGAAACAGTCGGCCGACGGGCGACACCGGTTCCGGGGTTGCTTGTAACGAGGATAGACTCGCGGGGTCTGTGGAGTGCACGTGCGCTTTTGGCACATGGAGAGTTTGTCGTTTCTGGTCATCTCTACCGAGCCGCAGCTTCCTAAGGCGAAGACCCTCGGTGACGCGAGTCTCGTCAACGGTCTCTGTTCTGACACTACTGCGCGACTCGGCTGCGACAGCCGGTAAGGAGGGATCTGCATCGCGATTGGACAGGTCTCCAGGAGCCATGGCGACACCCGCGTACAAAACTGACACGTGGTAAACTCTACCTAAGACAAGCGCGACACGAATGAAAGATTAAAGCGGGCGCCTTACCGACCAACTAATGTGAAAGTGCACAAACTAGAGTCGCACGTGCAAAAGGTCCAACGCAAGGGGTTGGAATGATAAACAAGACAACCGCAAACTGAAAGGCAGTGCCACCCTAGACTGAGTGGTATGAAGAGAAGATGAGAGGGATGGGCTGCTGAAAACTAGAGCCTTCTGGGAAGTATGAAAGGAAAGTTCCGGTTGCATCATGCAAGTGAGTAGCGCAAATTTCGGAACTAGGTGACAGGAGGCACTAATGTATGACCGTTAGAACAAGCAAACGGGTGCGGCTCGACAGTAGAAAATGGACGGTTGATAGTGAGAGTTGCGGCTGGATGCGACATCAGAGATGGCTGGAATGCCTTTTCCGGCAACACGTGTGAGGCACTCAAGGTATTTGCAACATGCAGAGACAACCAATCACGTTGCAGAACGTGTGATACGAACTGTTACAGAGAGCTATAAAATAGTACATATAAACAAAACACAAACAAAGAATCAAGGTTTCAACTTACTTTACTTCACAATCCCGCAGAACTCCCAACAAAGCGAGGCAAAACCTTTAGGCGAGGCGTGTGACAGATTTGTGCGATCAGCGCGAAAGCCTGACGAAAACATTGACAGGTTAGGTAAGTCACCGAACAACGGCCGACACTTTTCATGCGACATTTCTTGCAGACAGATTTTGCGACCATGCCGAAAGCAGCAGTATCCGCGCTAGTAGACAGACCAATGGGAGTTTTTTTAGATTCGGGATAGCAAAAGCTCGTTTATTACAGCTGTTACCGTCGGCTTGCTGTGAACGTTTTTCTCCTGCCCTGCGTGTTCGTGTAGGCTTGCAGTAGTATTGTCGCAGTCGCAGACCAGCGTCGCTTAGCCATGACAGGCGACGGGCCAGGCGACGCATCGCGATTCGGGGGCCCGCCGCCAATGCCAACCGGGTCAGCTGACCAACCGAGCCTTGTCAGCGAAACGGAAAAGTTAACCGAATATCCAACGGATGCTTTGACGGACTCGACGGCGAAATTGGGGAGTTTGGTAAATCCAGGCGACACGAAGACCAGGGCAGGCGAAGCGACAGCAAGTGCAGACGACCTATTAGATGCGTACTTAAAGCGAGTCATCCACAAAGGGAGACGGAAGGAAGCGCGAGCAACAGCAGGCAAAAGCGCTGCGGGCGAAGGATTGATCGGTTTTGATGGGTCCAGTCAGGTGGGCTCGGCTGGCGAATCTTCCCGGAAGTTGTCAACCCCTGAGAGATCTGCAGCAGGAGAAACGGGTGGTGAGAAATCGCAAAGGCAGATGGGAGCATCTGGGATTGGGTCTGAGAAATCCGCGGGAGACGCGCGGCAGCGGAAAGTTAGGGGGAAAGCTGCCGCGGAGGCTGCAGCAGGGGGGGACGGCGGCGGGGGAAAGGGGACGGGGGGAGCACGCGCGGGGAAAGGCGGAGGCGGGGAGTTAGTCGCAACGGTGGAGCTGGGCGCAAGTGGAAGCGGAAACGGAAGCGGAAGCGGAAGCGGAGGGGGGAATGAATTGAGGGATGGTGCAGAGGGCGAGAGGGATGACGCACCCGCGCATGGTCGTGAGCATGTGCATAAGCATGCGCATGGGGATGCACTTAGGCATGAGCATAAGCATGGACACGAGCAGGAGAAGCATGAGAGACATGAGAAAGAGAGGCAGGAGCATGCGCATGGCGACAAGCATTGGAGCAGGGAGGAGAAGGAAGAAGCAGGAGGAGCAGCAGCAACAGCAGCAACAGCAGCAACAGTGTCAGCGTTAGAAGCAGAAGCAGCAGGAAGAGACACAGCAGCAGAAGAAGCAGGAAACGCAGGAGCAGGGGCAGAAGCAGGGGCAGAAGCAGGGGCAGAAGCAGGGGCAGCAGGGGCAGCAGAAGCGGCAGAAGCGGCAAGAGAGAAAAAGGGCTCTGGTGTTCTTGAGGCACCCCAAAAACGAACCCCTGTAAAGGCCTGTAATGAATCAGCTCTTACCATTCCTCAAAGAGGAGGTTCGGCATCCAGCACTCCGGACCGGCAGAGGTTTGGGCCGAGCCAAAGGGGAGGGCTGTTTGAGAGTCCGCAAATGCAGGGGCGGCCAAGGGGGGGTGAGATTTCAGCCGACGAACATGCTGATGATGAAGGGAGTGAGGGAGGGAGTGAGGGAGATGAGGAGGATGAGGAGGAGGAGGACGACCAGGAGGAGGAGGGTAGTGAGGAGGAGGATGATGATTTTGATGATGATGACGATTACAGTACCACGGACACGAGCACAGGTGGGCCAATGTTTGAGTCATTAAAAGGTAGTCTCATCCCAGATTCACATGTCGATTTTGATTATGATAATGATTACAGCACCACAGGCACAAGCACAGGTGGGGTCGCATCACATCTTCCTCCCAACCTCGCACTTACCCCCCGTCCTCCCGCCAATCTCCAACCCCCACCTTTCCACCTCTTCCCACTCCCATTCTCCTTCCTTGGCTTCCTTTCTTCCTTACCCCTCTCTACACTGCTTCTTTTCATAATGGCGGGTTCTTGCTCTTTTCCTTCCCACAATATCCGCTATAACGCCAGACTGTACAGAGAATAAGTTCTCTGCGGCGTCTTAAAACTTTTCTTCTTGTGATATCCTTTCAGGGTCAGACTATACAGAGGATGAGGATGAGGACGAAGAGGAAGAGGAGGACGATGAGGAATCTTCTAGCATCGCGCAGGCCAAGGCACAACGTGCCGAAGCTGAGCGCCTAGCCGCCGAAGCTGCAGCGGAGGCTCGGGCGCGCGAGCGGGAAGGTTCGGCGGTGCGGGTGGCTCGGGCTGCTGTGGTGGAGAGGAGTCAACTGGTGGGGGTGCTGGAAGGGGAGAGGAGGGAGGCTGAGGCGAGAATGAGAGAAGCAGCAGAGCAGCACAGGAAGAAGGTGAGTTGTTTCTAGAGGTACCCAAAAGGAAGGCACGTTATTGAGCAGCACGGGAGTCAGCTTGGCTTTGCAGGTGGCTCGGGCTGCTGTGGTGGAGAGGAGTCAACTGGTGGGGGTGCTGGAAGGGGGAGAGAAGGGAGGCTGAGGCAAGGATGAGAGAGGCAGCAGAGCACTACAGACGGAAGGTGAGGTGACTTTTGAGTCGACTCAAAAGGCAGCAAAGCAGCACAGACGGAAGGTGAGGTAGAAAGCAACGGAGGTGGAAGGTGGGTTATGGAGCAGTGCGGAATTGAGTTAAGTTGAAGCGGTCAGACAGAGGAACTGAGGGCGCGATGCTGAGGAATTGAGGAACTGAGTGCGCTATGCTGTTTTGAGTCGACTAACTACTGCCCCCCCCCCCCCCTCCCTTCCCACCTTCCCATGTAATCTCATGCATTCCAGCAGATGATCCGAGAGTGCATGTGCGGAGAGGATTTAAGTTAACTTAAAAGCATTGTCTCTCTCTCCTCTCCTCTCCTAACCTTTTTCCCTTCCCTTTCTCCTTTCCCTCTCTGTATTCGCACGCACTCAGGCAGAGGAGCTGAGAGCGCGTGTGAGGAGAGGATTCGAGGCGGTGACAGCAGAGAGCCAATCACACGCTGCCACGCGCAAGGAGCGGGCGGCACGGGAGGCGCACTACGAGACGGAGGCGGCAAGTGGCATGGCGGCACTGGCTGCCGCCCAGAGAGCTCTAGAAGAGAAGGTGAGTGGGTGGCTGTGTCAGGAGGAAATTCAGAACTCTCCCCTGTACCCAGTAACTTTCCTTTCTCCTACACCCGAAACCCTATCCCAAACCGCTTTGTTTTCGTTTTCGTTTTCGTTTGTGTTTCTTTCTGTCCCATTAATTTCCCGATCTACTACCGTTTTTTCACTCTGTTCCCTCGCGTCCGTCAAACACCTGCTAGGTCGAGCTGCTGGCTTCTGATTGGTCCACAGTGCACCGCTGACAGAGGAGATCGAGCAACTGGAGCAGCAGGTGGTGCAACGAGCAGCATGGCTCTCGCTCCAATGAATTCTCTTTCTTCTCTGCACCCATCTGCACCCCTCTGCATCCTTCTCTGCCCCTCTGCGCTCCTGATAGGTTGAGCTTCTAACGTCTGATTGGTCCACGGTGCACCGGCTGACGGAGGAGATAGAGCAATTGGAGCAACGGGTTCAGTGGGCAGAGGCCGAGGGAGAGGCAGCGGGAGCAGCAGAGGAAGGGGCAGAGGCGGGGAGGTGGGAGAAGGGGAGAGAGGAGGAGGGAGCAGCTGCGAATGTAGGGGGCGGAGCAGCTGCAGGAGAAGGAGCAGCTGGCAGGCACGGGGCAGCAGAGGGAGCAGAGGGGGCAGGATTGGGAGGAGATGCAGGAGGGAGTGATGGTGGTGGGACAATGTCTGTCGGTTTGTTGGAGGGGACTTTGCGACAGAGAAGGAAGGAGGTGAGAGGGGTGCGAGTGAGTGAGGGAGTGAGTGAGTGTGTGAGGGAGGGAGTTTTGAGTGTGAGGGATTGAGGCAGTGGGTGGATGACTGAGAAACTTCAGGGCGCGGCGGTGATGTTGGCGGGGCAACATTTGTTGGGCTGCTGGAGACGATTCTGCGACGGAGAAGGAAGGAGGTGAGAGGGGTGGGTGTGACGAAGGAGTGAGTGAGGGAGTGAGGTGAATGAAATAGTGAGTGAGTGAGGGATTGGGCCAATGGGGAGATGAGTGAAAAACTGCAGGGCGAGGGGGTGATGGTGGGGCAGCATCTGTCCGGCTGTTAGATGGGACTCTGCGACAGATGAAGGAGGTGAGATGGGTGTGAGTGGGTGAGGAAGTGAGTGCGGGAGGGAGTGAGGGAGGGAATGAGTGAGTGAGGGAGTGAGTGAATTGGTAAGAGACTTTCCCACCCCCCCTTGCTGGAACCTTCTCATTTTCCTCCTACGCCCAACAACAGGTTGCTCTGCTGCGTCAGCAACTGGAGGATGCTGAGTCAGCAACCGCCCAGCAGCAGGCAGAGTCAGAGGTGGAATCAAATCTCCTGTCAAGGCTACAGCAGTTAACGGAGCGGCTTATATTGAAGCAGCAGCAAGTAGAGTCCCTACAGATCGAAAAGTCAACCCTCTCCCTCCGCATCGAGACGGAATTCGCCGCCCTGCAAAAGGACAAACACCGCCTGTCCACCTTCCTCAGAAGCGGACGAAACCCCGCGTCGGCAGCTGTCACTGCACGTTTCCTCGCCAGCACACCGGGCCCACTTGCTGCTGACCTGGCAGCTGCTGCGTCAGCAGCGGAAGCAAGGGCTCTAGAGGAGGGAGGGGAGGAGGGAATAGAGGGAGACCCGGGGTTTTCAAGAGAGGCCATCTTGAACCGTTCGAGAAAATTGACTTTGGCTCAGAGGGATTTTGGGCTCGGGCCGACGGGGAATGCGATTGTGGTGGGAGTTGTGGACACGGTTTTGGGATTTGATTCGCTTTTCCTGGGGAGTGCGGGCGGCGTGTTGCGGACTAATGTGGTTGCGAGGACGAGCTTGTGGGTGTATTTGGTGGTGTTGCATTTATGGGTGGCGTTCGTGTGGCTCATGCATTTCCCGTTCCACCATCATCACTCACACCATGAGCATGAGCATGACACTCATCCACACCAACCCTCCAGGTGGTGGTAAAACTTGGTATGGGATTTTGCATATACGTATATGTATGACTAAGGTACATAAATATACAGCATTCCTCGAATTTGATACTGTATGCGTTTTTCCTACACCTTCATCGTCAACAGTCATGCTATCATTAATTTGAATTGAAGCCCTTGAATGGGTATTAATACAGAAAGTTGAAGCAAGCTCTACAGTGACTAGCAGAAAGTGCATGAGAGAATAAAGGGCTCTCCATTTTCGCGTATCGATTTTCCCGCGCCACTCACGCAGTGCCTCGAGATTTCCTCTCAAAAACTCCGTTCTCTTCAGTCACAAGTTTCGACCACCTCTCGTTACAATCACAGCCATGTCTTCCCCGTTACTCGCCGCTAACGTCTACATTTCCATCGCGCGCTGCGCGTCTCTCCTCCAATCGCTCGCCTCCTCTCTCGCCGCCTCCCGCGCGCCAACCAGAATCCTCCACGTGTTCGAAGACGAGCCGTATGCGCGAACGGGTGTGACATTAGCGGGGCCTGCGCGGGATCTGGAACGGACGGTGATCCTGCTTTCGGGCCGAGCGATCGAGACCGTTGATCTGAGTCGCCACGTCGGCAGCCACCCGTGCATCGGAGTGTTGGACCACGTGGCACTCCGGCCGCTGCTGCGTGCTGAGCTGGCAGACGCTGCAACGTCAGCGAGAAACGTCGGGCGGAATCTGGGGCAGCATCACGGAGGTACGATAGAACGCAATTTTCGAAACGCAGAGCATTTCCAAGACTACTCAAGATTTTTATAACTGCGAGATCACTCAACCACTTTCCTGTTCGCCCCAACCACTCTCCACCCCTCCGCAACCCACCCCACTCCTCCCCACTCCTACGCACCACGCCCCACCCTTTCCCACTCCCCAGTCCCCGTGCACCTGTACGGTGCTGCGAGCCCCACCAACCGCCCTCTGGACGCCATTCGCCGCGACCTGGGATACTTCCGACCGCCCGCAGCGCGTTCAGAGACATCTGGGTTAGCTGAAACCTCTGTCAACGCTGCTGCCCATCCCGAGCCTCCTTCCATACCTCCTCCCGAGCCTCTGTCCACACCTCCCGATTTGGGGCCCCTCCACCCGAACCCTCTCAAGGGCAGAGTTGCAGTTGGCGCCGCTCCGTGGGTGTACAATTACAACATACCCATCCAAACCCCCTCCCGAGTCACCCAAACCACCCTGGCAGCGGCTAGAAGGGTGGCTAGGAGAGTGAGTGAGAGGGGAGGAGGGGTGGTGGGGGTACAGAGTATGGCTTTAATGCATGGGGACAAGTGTGTTGAGATAGCTTGTAATATATCGGAGCCTGACGCGCCAGCTACTGGTTTATCGGAGTGTGATTCGCCAGCAGCACCGGTGAAGGGGGCTTTGAAGCCTGACGCAGCGGCAGCAGCACTGCAAGTGCAGAGAGCAGTGGAGGAAGGGGTAGAGAGAGAGGTGGGGTTGCAAGGGGCGCGGGTGCTGTCAGGGTATTCGCCAGGGCTGACGAGATGGGAGGCTTTGGAAATGTATCTAAGCATGGGGGAAAGAACCGTGTGGATATGATATGATATGGGAGTGGGCGAGGGAATGGATATGAGAGTAGAGTGAGAGAGAGTATTGAGAGACCCAAGGAGGCATGGGGTGTGTGAGTGGGTTGTTGTGGAATGCTGTGACCAGGGAGCGCTGGGGCAGACAGCAGTGAAGAGGGTGGGAGACAGGGCATGGGACGGTTGGAGGAGGCAGGGTGGCTGAGGGGGAGTTTAAGAATTGCAAGTTTACTGTGCCAAGTTCTACCATAGCATCTGCATTTATCTATTCATACAGTAGCAGGCAGCAAAGCAAAGCACTTGATGATAACAAATGCACAAGACTCAACAGCCCGACATTTGTTGGGAACAATAAGTCTTAAAACGCCTCTGTCGTGTCGAAGCTCAGGACTCAAAGCGAAGCAGTCCAAATCGAAGCATCGCGAGTCAACCCTCGGAGGTTGGGGTAACCGCCTGGAGGTTACGCGAAGGTCAAAGGTCAGTGACCTTTGACTTGACCAATACAACGCGACAGCAAGGACACACAACTGACTCGACATTGAGCAGTTGCCCGAGTCGCACTGTATCGAATCGCAACAGTAAAACGGTTTAAATCTATCTATTCGTATTCCTTGTACTCTTATATAAACCTTGTATTTGCTTGTTTAATTTCACTTACTTTGCCCTCACATACCAGCGCAAGGTGGTTCAAGATCTTTTATTCAACGCTTCCGCTATTACAAATCCTACCCAGACTTTAACTCTACAAAGATCCTTAGGGCTAATCAGCCCAACATGGTATGAGAGCAGTTAGAGTTAAAATTATTATTCAGCAAACCTTACCGTCACCCCCCGGATATAAGCGCCACCCTAGGATAAGCGCCTGGCGCTTCTAATTGGCATATGGCGCTTATATCCCCTCCTCGATTATAAGCGCACCCCCTGAAAAAACTAGTTTTATTATAAGCGCACGTAAACTTTAAAATTTGAAATGTGTACAAAACGTTGTAATGATTTTTACTTTAGCAGGCAGATATGTTGCAGATTCGGTTCCCTTCACATTCGGACCCTGCACTGGATGCGGGTCCAGTCAGCAGGAGCTGTCAGGAGCTGGATGTGAGTCAGATTGGGTGTGTCTCCCAGCGCGCGCGAGAATTTCACAGACGACCCCATGTAAATTCGACTCGATTGAAAGGGCAAGCACGAGACCTACAGTTTGGTGTTAAACAATATAAAAAATATGAATGTCATTTTATAAACGCCGGCGCTTATAAATTTACTCGATTATAAGCCCACCCCCTTGAAAAAACCTGTTTTATTATTGCCCCCCATGGGGGTATATCCGGGGGGTGACGGTACATCAAAAGAAGACATGACAACCAGAAAGGAGAGGAGCTCCTCCAACGGCTCCCCCGGTACTACTCCTACCCCACCACCTTGTGAGAATAAGCGAACAGGAATGAATGAACTAGCAGTGAAATGAGTACAAGTAGGAAACCCTAGAATTGTGTACCCCCTATAGGCTAACCCACTGTAGCCTACACAAGCATAACATATATAATGTTTGACACACCCCCATAGGCAAAGTGGGGGAGAACAAGGGGTCACAAGACCAGTCAAGCAAAGCAAAGCAAGCTCAGGGTGGATCACAAAGTCACCACACAGTCCGAGCACAAGAGCAGGGCCAGAGGCCAGTTCACATGCAGGAGTACAGACATATATATAAAACTAGACAAGCAAGAGCAGGTATATATATATGTCACAGTACAAGTGAAGTCAAGAGGAGAGCAAGTGAGGCAAGACAGGCACAAGACCCAGCTGGGTGCAAAAGCGCTGATGGTCACAAGGCGCGAGTGCCTTGGTGAACACATCAGCAGTGTTGGCCTCAGAGGCCACGTACGCAAGTCGCAACTGACCACGCTGCTGCAGCTCACGAGCAAGGAAGTAGCGGAGAGCAATATGCTTCGTTCTGTGCTCCAAGCGCTGCTCTCGACACAAGGCCAGCATGGCCTTGTTGTCTACGTACAGCACTGGAGGAGAACGAGGCGGCTCTCCAAGGTCAGTCAGCAGGTAGGTGAGCCAGCGAAGCTCCTGTGCAGCCATGGCCCCGGCGTAGATCTCAGCCTCACAACTGGAGCCGAGAACCGAAGACGAGCGAGTAGACCGCCACGAGACAGAGCCGGAACCAAGGCTGAAGGTGTAACCCTGTGACGACCGCTGCGTAGCCTGGTCGTCAGCCCAAGAAGCGTCCGCGTGGCCGGTAAGGACCACTGGACTCCGCCCTCCAAGCACAAGCCCCATGCCCGGCGTACTGCACAGGTAGCGCAATACCCTCTTCGCTGCAGCCATGTGCTCTGGTCTGTGTCTCCCAGGAGCAACATAGCGTGCAAGAATGCTCAGAGGATATGCAAGGTCAGGTCGTGTGCAGGTCATCAGGTACATGAGGCAGCCAACAAGCTCTGCATACGGACCACTCGACTCTACGGACTCATCCGAAGGCAGAGCTGAGAGTGAGTGGCGAGTAGGCAGAGGAGTGGCCTGAGGCGAGGAGTACGTGAAGCCGAAGCGCTGAAGGACCTGCTGCACCATGTGTGACTGAGTCAAGGTAATGGTGCGGCGTGCTCTGTCCCGAGTGATCTGCAAGCCAAGGTAGCTGCGCAGTTCACCCAGGTCTGTGCACGTGTGTCTCTTCAGCAGTTTGGACTTCACGTAGGCGAGTCCAGCAGTGTCCGCTGTGGCAAAGACCAAGTCGTCGACGTACACGAGGATGTAGAACGGCGGCAGTGAAGTGTCGGTGCGCAGAAACAGCGACGGGTCAGCAGTAGAAGGAGCAAACCCAAGAGCCGCAAGCGTAGTCCTCAGTGTGTCGTGCCACTCATGCGGTGCCTGGCGGAGACCGTAGACTGGCCGTCGGAGGCTCCACTGGGTGCCAGGAGGGAAAGTCCCAGTGAAGCCAGGTGGACGGCGCAGCCAGATCTCCTCGTGCAGGCTACCCTGCAGGAACGCAGTGCTGAAGTCGAGAGAGTGAAGCTTGTAGTCGCGCTGAGCGGCTATGTGCAGCAGCACCCGAAGAGTGGTCATCTTCGGGGTGGGAGAGAAGGTCTGAAAGTAGTCAACTCCCTGCCGCTGACTGAAGCCACGAGCAACGTACCGCGCCTTGAAGACAGGTGGAGAGCCCGGCGGCCGCTTCACCCGGAAGATCCACATGCCACTGACGATGTTCGCCCCAGGAGGGGGAACCGCGTCAACGTAGGTGCCTGTGGACTTCCAGGAAGCCATCTCTGCATCCATAGCTGCCTGCCACTGAGAGGAGTAGGGACCCTCTACGGCCTCCGCGTAAGAACGCGGAGTCGGGATGTCTAGTGCATCCGGGTCTCCCTCAGGGGCAAGCAGTACAGACGCGAGATGAGGTGAAGCAGCCGCTAGACACTGTAACTCCTCCTGTCTGTCCTCTAAGACGTCCGTGCCAAGAGCACACTCACCCCCGACGGACGGAGGACAGACAGACGCAGACTCAGCAACAAGACCAGCAGCGTAGTCGAGACGACAGCGAGCAGCAAAGTCAACGAGCTCAGCGACTAGAGCAGACGCAGCAGTGGACTCAAAAGAGGGGTCAGTGACGACAGTAGCAAGCAGACGCGTGACAGTAGGACTGGCAGCGCGAAGAGAGTCCGACTCAGGGTCGGCAAGCGCAGGAAGAGAGGACTCAGGAGGCGAAGGCAAAGGGGCACGCAGAGGAGCAGTGGACGGACGCAGAGACATCCGGTGCGTGCCAGGGACAGGAGGAGGACGCTAACGCGAACCGCGACCACTAGCGCGAGCAGCACGAACAGGCGACGCGGGACGAGACGCAGGCTCACGACGCTCAGCAAGACCTCCAGTAGGACCAGTGTAAGGAGAGGGAGCAGGCAGAGGAGAGGAAGGCTCCAACAGTGACTGCGACTGGACAGGCTGTGGACACTCTACCGAAGGAGAAAGACCAAGAACCTGCTGTAGGAGCGGAACGAAGTACGGCCGAGGCCGCGCGGCAGCTCCAGACTCAGCAGGGACAGCACCAGCACCCTCAGCGACAGCACCAGCGCCACCCACACCTCCAGCAGCAGGACCAACAGCAGTAGGCTCAGCACCAACGCCCTCAGCACCTCCAGCTCCAGGAGGACCCGCAGGTCCAGCAGCTCCGGGACCGGCAGCACCCGCACCCTCGACGGTCGAAGAAGCTCCAGCTCCAGCTCCAGCAGCACCTCCAGACTCAGCAGCACGCCTCCAGCGGCGAGCGTACCACTCGCGCAGCTCCTGTGGAGAGAGGGGCTCCCGGCGAGACGCAGCAGCAGGAGAAACCCCAGGCTCAGCAGCTCCAGACGCAGCAGGGACAGCACCAGCGCCCTCAGAGACAGCACCAGCGCCACCCACACCTCCAGCGGCAGGACCAACAGCAGCAGGCTCAGCACCAACGCCCTCAGCAGCTCCAGCTCCAGGAGGACCCGCAGGTCCAGTAGCTCCGGGACCGGCAGCACCCGCACCCTCGACGGTCGAAGAAGCTCCAGCTCCAGCTCCAGCAGCACCTCCAGACTCAGCAGCACGCCTCGAGCGGCGAGCGAACCACTCGCGCAGCTCCTGTGGAGAGAGGGGCTCCCGGCGAGACGCAGCAGCAGGAGAAACCCCAGGCTCAGCAGCTCCAGACGCAGCACCCCCAGGCTCAGCAGCTCCCGACCCAGCACCCCCAGACCCATCACCTCCAGGCACAGCACCCCCCTGCTCAGCACCCCCAGGCTCCGCACTCTCCGCAGTAGCACCCGCAGGCCCAGTACCCCCAGCAGTAGCACCCCCAGGCTCAGCACCCCCGCGCACAGCACCCCCAGAGTCAGCACCCCCAGGCTCAGCACCCGCAGCAGCACCAGAGTCACCTGTAACCTCGACCGGGTCAACGGCGTCTACCTGGGACACACCTGAGGGGGCAGGAACCTGAGGGGGGAGGGGGTCTACCGGGGGGGGAACCGGTACAAGGAAGTCCGGGGGAGGGGGGAGGGAAGGAGTGCGGTAGGGGAAGAGACGGTAGAAGGGGACTGACTCGTCGAACGTGACGTCCTGGGAGGACAGAACACGACGAGAGGAGGGGTGGTAAAACTGCCACCCTGGGGCGTCAGTGGGGAAGCCAAGGAAGACACAGGGAGCAGCACGAGGGGACAGCTTGTCCGCAGACAAGTCGCGGACAAACGCCCGAGATCC